ATGCAAGTTTTCTTTACAGCTGCATTTAAATTTCGAAAGCTTGAAACATATAACAACGGACGGAAGATTCTCAATTCACGGTGGCCGAAAATTGTTCCCAATCGCCATCGTTGATGCCGAGCCGGAGAGGGACAGAGATCAGGGACCCAAAAAAAAAAAAGAGAAACGCAACTAACTTCCCACAACTTGCATATCCACCTTACTCCTCCCTCGTCTACAACCTCTCCCGCGTCTACCAGCTCCTCCCGCTTCTACCACCAACACTCTGTGAGCCATCCTCCAGAAGAACCAAAGGCACATGGGTCTTGGGACTTAACCCCCAAAATGAAATCCTCCCCCTGGAAAGCCCTCGAAATGAAAGGTGAAATGCTGTCCTGAGAAATCGCCAAAACCAGGCCCGCCGCCCTGCATCATTTCCTCCACGTCCTCGCCCCGGTCATATTTTGTGCGCTTCTCCTCGTCGCCCAGGATCTCATAGGCTTCTGCCACCTCCCGGAATTTCTTGTTTGCTTCCTCCTCGTTCCCGACATTCTTGTCGGGATGCCACTGGAGGGCAAGCTTCTTATACGCACGCTTGATCTCCGCCGCGGACGCAGTCGACGTGACTCCAAGGACCTTGTACCAATCCTTTCGCTGGCTTATCTTCACCGCCTTCTCCGCTCTGTGAAGCCCTTGCCGTGCCTGCTGATCCTGGGGGTTCTTCTCCAGAGCTTCCTGGAAATCCTTCACAGCGTCCTCGTAATCCTCCATTAGCAAGCGGGCCTCTCCTCTCTGCACCAATGCTTCGATCAATTGAGGATCGATTTCAAGTGCTCTTGCGCAGTGAGGCATCGCCTCCTTGCCTTTGCTGAGTTTGACGTAAGCTTTACAGAGACCCAGATGAAGTTTGACGTTATGCACATCGTGTGTTTTCTCGACTTCCAGAGCAGCAAGGTAACCCTCGATAGCCAGCCTGTACTTGCCGGCCTCGAAGTGCTCGTTCGCCTGCGTTGTTGTCTTCTCAAGGAGCTTGACCTTTCTATACTCTTTCTTTAGTTGCGCGTGTTCGGGATCCAGCCTCAGACCGTTCTGAAAATGCCGAATTGCGATATCATGGTTGCCAAGGAGGAAGTAGGCTTTGCCGCGCAGGAGGAGCGCATCAAGATCGTTGTCGTTGCCCTTCAACACGCGGCCGACTTCTGCGACCACCTCTGCATACTCTCTTGATGCCAAAAGAACTCTGCCCTTCAGCATTCGCACCTGCCGGCAGTCGGACGCGTGGTGCAGCACGCTCATCACCTTCTCCTTTGCTTTCGCTGTTTCCCCCATGTCCAGCAACGAGTCCACCTCCTCCATCGACTTGTGAATGCCTTTCGTCACCTCTTTCTCTTGTGCTGCTCCCGCATGCCCAGGTCGAAGGCTCAGCGATGTGTCGAAATCCGACTCTGCTTCGTCAAACCTACACAGCTGTCTATACACCTTTCCACGCTGAAGGAATCCTTGGAATAAGGTAGGGTCAAGCTCAACAGCCCTGTTGAAGTCCTTGAGAGCGTCCAACATCTGCCGCTGTTGAAGATACACCGCTGCTCTCTTGGTGTATCCTACCGTAGCACCCGGGTCTGCCTTTATAAATGACGAGTAGTGGTCAATAGCCGCCTTCAAATCTCCTCTCGATATAGCCGCATCTCCCATCTGCAGAAATGTGCCTGCATTTCCAGAGGCATATCCTGACATTCTGACAAGTAGAATCAACTGAAGGAGAACAGACGCCATAGCCGATGAGGAAGAAGAGCTCCTGCGCGAAGGGCACTGCAAACTCCAGCCATAACCGATTGATTCCCCCGCAGTCATCCTCGCCGTTGGTCCACATACATCCCCACCGTACGATTTTCCTTGTGATCTGTTGGTCCTCCAAAGCCTTCTGTCCCCTAGATGTCCCAGAACTGACTCGCCCTCCGACGGATGCAGTATGCAGGGACACATTTTGCCACCCACTCACAATTCACACTCTCTCCACTCAGCCCTGCAGCGCGGAGACTCCTTCCTCTCTCTCTCTCTCTCTCTCTCTCTCTCTCTCTCTCTCTCTCTCTCTCTCTCTCTCTCTCTCTCTCTCTCTCTCTCTCTCTCTC